GTCGTCGTCATCGTTGTTGTTGTTGTTGTTGCTGCTGCTGCTGCTTCGGTGGTAGAAGTGGTGGTGGTGGTGGTGGTGGTGGTGGTGGCGGCGGTGGTGGTGGTGGTGGTGTCAGTGCTTATGCACTATTTTGGTTGATGTACTGCTTCTCTAGTTGTTTGTATTCTGAGTCAGGTTTTGTGTTGTAATTTTTGTTGTGTAGCACACGTATGTGAGTCGGAACAAGCTCCAGCGATCGGCCGAAGCATTCGGCTCGATTCGCCTGCTTTTCAGATCTTTCCTCGCCCGTCTCATCTCGTCGTGGTCATGTCCGACTTCCCCGACTTCCTTGCCGCGGCTGGGCTCGACCTGGTGTCCCACTACCTCTCCCACTACCTTTCCGTCGGCCCCTACCGCATAGACGCCTGCGTGGGCATTGGAGAGGTCGCCGCCGGGGAGCCCACGCCGGGCGACTCGGCTGGCATCGAGCCAGGCACTCCTGATGTGCCTTCGTGCGGGGTCTCCGTTTTCGACCCCGATTGTTTTCAGGACACTGCGGTGCAGACCGAGACGGAGATCTTCATCATGAACTTCGTCGCCGGGTCGTTCCTCGAGGTTCTCACCGCGTCGGTCAGGGCGCTTTCGCCCGAAGACATCGCCAAACGGCTGCAGCGGACAGTCCGGACGCCGACGTGGCGCCTTCTCGCGTGGGCTGGCATTCGCTGCTGCGCCGACGCCCCTGCCTTCGACTTCGCCGCCTACAACCACGTTGTCGGCGTCTCTTCGTCGACGACCGATACAGCGGCGCCTACGGCGCTGAGAATCGAGGCATCCGCCACGCCTCACCGGCTTGGGGCTGACGTGAAGGTCGAGCTGGTCAGCTTTTCGGTGCCTGTATCTTGGACGAGGACGGCGGCGGCGCCGCCGCCGCTGACTACCTGCTCGAGCTTGCCCGACATCCCGAGCGCCTTCGCAAAGGCGGCTCCTCCGCCCCTCATGCGGGAAGGCATGCAGGCCATTTGGAAAGTCGCCGCTGCTGCCGTTCCGCCAACAGCCGGAGGAGGACCATCCGCGCTGCTGCGAAGCATATCAGGCGGGGCGGAGGCTTCGACGGCCCAAGGTGCCATCTTTCCCGCCAGTGAAATAGCGACGGGCGCCCTCAGCGCCACCATTGCTGTGATGGCGCCCGAAACCGACAACAGGGCGGAGACAGGCCCAGGGGCAGTGGAACAGCTTCCGGAGCCTCTCGGGCACGGCCATCCTTACGCCCGTTACTGTCCTTGCCGATGTCGATATACTGCTTAGACGTGCGACTAACCTCTAGCTCTAGCGGCCGACCTGCTTCAGCAGCTGATTGCCTCAAGTGGACATTCTGCGCTGCGACTCAATCGAGGATTTGCTGTATCTGTTGGTCATGGGAGGTTTTACGTGCATGCGGACATCCCTTGCCCGTCTGTGGAGGTTGGGCTGTGATCTCTGTAGACATATAGTGCAAGCTCGTCTACACAGACTTGGCGTCTCTGAGGCCTTGGAGGAGCACGAGAGATTTTGCCGGGCACTGGCGACCAAAAAGCCGAGGGCTGTTGCAGTTCATCCCCCGGTCTCGCCTCCCCCCTGTCTGTCTTTGCCTTAGTATTCTGGGGGTGGGACGGTTGGTTGGTTCTCGCCAGACTCAAAGCTCGTCGAGTTGACACGCCGCTGGCGTGCAACCTTTGCGGAGCTGGCCGCCTTGGCGGGCGGGCCGCGGGCCGGGTTCCGCAACGTTTCCGGGCTCGCTCTTGCCGTCATAGCTGCGGGACCTTCCTCAGCGGCGCTATTCGGCGAGTCCCTGGCTGAAGCGGTGGAGGCGATCAGTCCCACCAACGTGAAGTGACCTGCTCGCACCAGCGCACCTGGAACCGCCTTCGAGGGCAAGGTCGCCCCGTGGCCCTTGGAGGTCCTGGGCGCCGGGGTTCAAGGGCGGCGGCTGCACGAGTGTCAGAGAGTACTACCGCGCCGCCTTCTGCCGCCAGCATGCGTCACGCCAACAGGGTCACAGGGATGTCAGGCGCTTCCCGGGCTCACACCTGAAGGAGGCGTTCCCTCTGGACGCCCTGGCTCCTTTGGTGGATTTTCGCTTCGACCATGGGCGGCCATTCTGCGGACGTCTTCGATCACGCTCCAGGAGACTGAGGTCGCCGGGGTGAGGGTCGGCGATCTTATGGTCGGGCTCCTCGGCACCTCGCGCCCCGGGCAGGAGCACCCGCGCCAAGGAGGAGCCCGTCCACCCCCTCAAGGAGGTCCTCATTGGCCGTTTCTGGCCGCTGGGCGGGGGAAGGCTGTAGGCCGACTCTTGTTTTCCTGTACGGGTGCGGGGGGACACGAATGTGGCACACGCCAGGCGCTGCTGGCCGGGCGATGCCTCTGCTCGCTGGGTTCTCGACGTCGGCGCGGCTCAAGGGCAGGCCCCAGCAACCAGCAGGGCGCGCTGTTGCTCGATGCAACTACTACGGTATTTGGAGACGCCAATGTCGCCGGAGTCGTGGAAGGGGCGATGGAAGAGGGCTCATCACACGCGTAGGCCGCCAGTGTGGTGGTAGGCTCCCCAGCATCCGCCCATGCCTGCAGAACCGAGAATCGTCTTCGTCAGGGGTCCAGCTCGTGGGCGCGGCGAGCCTGGTCGCCGTCGAGGACAAGAAGTCCTGGGAGCCCCGCGGCGTCATGGCGTCCTCGGCGGCCTGGAAACGGACCGCCTGGCCTGGATCCTCGTCGGCTTGAAGAGGTCGACGCCTGCCTCGCTGGTGGGATCGCCACGCCACAGGGCCAAACACGCCAGCATCGAGAAGTTGGTCTTGGCGATGGAGATGCGCCAGCGCCACACCTTTAAGGAGGTCACTGGCGATATTATGGCGAACGTGGCGGCGTTCTTTGAGGGCATCCTAAGCCCAAGGCCGCCCTTCGGGCCCACGCCGTGAGGCTGACTCTTAATATGGTTTTTGCATGATTCGGCAATGGTCTGCTGGCACGCGCGCCACGATGGCAGTGAAATGCAATGCACATTGAGGCCAACTTTCAAACAGCATATATAATGTGGTTGATGCGAGCAGTGTGCGCTTTTTCGGCAGGACGTTGCAGAACCTGTCACCAGCTCGAATCATTCAGTCAGCAAGGCTCCAAAGTCCAAAGGGCCTTCCTGGCCAAGGTTTTTGTGTACTTGGATCGCAAGAGGATGGTGCGACAGTGCCTGTTCGGTCGGGATTTGCCAGGAAGAAAGGGCAAGGTCGAGTGGAATGACGCGTGAGAAGCGTTGGAATTCAATATATTGTGCAACGGGAGGTTTGTGTCACGCGCCAGGCATACGTCAAGTGTCAGCCTGCGTAGAGAGATTGAGCCGAGGACCTCCTGCGCCAAAAATTGGCAACAGTAATCACAGTCAGCTTGCTGTGCTCGTCAGCGAGCATGAAGTTGCAGATCACTTGCACAGTCAGCGCTCTTCGTGCTGCGCATAGTCATGTCAGTGAATTGCGAAGCCACTTCTAGAGACTGCCCGACAGAATCGGAAAGTCCAGGTGCGCACCAGTCTGCTTCGCTTGGGCAGACCATGTTTGTTCGTCGCACATGTCATAAACACTGCATGCACAGCATCTCGCTTGTGCCCGATTCCTGTCAACAGCTGTTGTTTGAACTTCCCTATGAGCCGCAGACGACTCCATGGACACTCTGGTTTTATGCTAACTGCAGCTCAGTGCAGCCCTCCGCCAGCCGACAACGTTGTACTAGACCATGACTCACATGGAGGTCTGTACAGTTCTAACAACGCTGTAAGATTGCAGCCATTGCCAGCAGGTCTAGTCCCGAGCAGTGTTCGCTGGCTTTCGTGGCCCATGTCGTGCGGTTGCTTCGAAGGGTTGCAGCAAAGGTGCAGCCAAAGTTTTTGGAAAGGGAATAGCTCGGGGAACCTTGGCAACCTCCGTGTCAGGCTGCAAAGAGTTTGGGGTGCTTTCCAAGCACCTGGGAATTATGGCGAGGACGGGATTTCAGAGGTCTTGAGCATTGCGTTGTCAAGTTCACGGTCTGTTCGACCTGAGAACGCCGAACAGGAAAGAGAGGCTTTTGAACGAACCGTCGACTTCCTCCTTTCCGTGCCACTTCTGAAGAAGCAGCACCTTGCTGCCACCAGTTGGTCTGTGTGTGCATCAAGCATGACATGCAGGATTTCTTTCATCTTCTGAGATATCTGCATGGTGCGGCTGATGAAGAACCGAGGTTGCCGAAAGCCGAACTACCCAAAGTGGCTCAGCAACTCACCCGGAGGCGGATCGCGTGGGCACATTCCTCCAGCACCATCCATGCCCTGTAGATGCGAGCGCGAGAGAATTCCACAGAGCCCGGCTTAGTGGATGTCATTTGTGCGGCATAGTGCAAAAACATTCAGGGTGTGGCAGCCCGGTCAAATCTTGGTGAGTCACCCGGCCGAACAACGGCAGATGATGCCGGTCAAACATGACACGAGAAGGTCTCAGTGCTCCTTTATATCCAAGGACAAGGCGAGATGGGTGACTTGTCTGCAGCGGGTCGGTGTCATGCATTGACATGGAAAATCAGCTGACTTTATGCAACGGCTCCTTGACGAACGCAATATACCCTTGGAGTCGCACATAGGGAGACCCAGCATGCGATGCGGGAGTCCACCGCCAGAAGATCATCCGAGCATCTCTACATGCAGCGAACGGGGAGTGGGAAAGCAGCGGGTTGTCGAGGCAAGGCCACTTAACCACCCTGCACAGTACCATACAGTATGCCAGCTAGGCTTGCAATGTCAATGTGATTCTTCTCGGGGTCCTGAGACCTCTGGCCTGCAACAATTACCGAGTTGCTGGTAAACGTAACATGACACACACACACACGCCGCAATCTGAGAAGTGTCACCTTGCCGGGGGAGCATTCTGAGATTGTCGCCAGCAGATCCGATGAGGCAAGTTTTTCTTGAATAGAGGACGCAATGGCCACGTGCAGATTGTTTCAGAAGAATTAACATTTGCGACGTGGGATCCGTGCTGCTTTAGATAGGAATAACACAATCTGTCACATGTGCAATGATGTGCAAGGTTCCATGTAGTACACAGGGCCCGGAACGCAGAAGCTTCGTTCTGTGTCATGTAGCGGAGCGGCATATCGAGAGAGAGAGAGAGAGAGAGCGAGAGAGAGAGAGAGAGAAAGAGAGAGAGAAAGAGACCGCTCCCCATGCCCTGGCGAAGAAGACAGAGACAGAGAGAGCTCGCAGTTTGCCACCTTTCGCACTTGTGCAGCGGTTTTTAATACGCTGGGGTGTGACTGCCGTGGCCGTTGTGCGGATTTCTTCTGAATGTTCAAAAATGTTCAAAATCTCTCGGCGGGTTTCGTGTTCGATTTGTGACGCTTGGAGGTATCGCACTCGGACCTTCGACGTGCACAGCAAGCGCATTGAGTCTAGAACGATCTGGGAGCCCCGGAGCGGGTGCGTGCTGCGCATGTGTGGCATGTGTGAAGGCCAATATTGGTTTGCCTGGAATTCCCGAACTAGCCTTTGGGTTCATGCATGTTCATGCTCTAGATCCAGTCACGGTAAGAGTGCAGCGTCAGTCAAGTCGAGTCAACAGGAACCTTTCAAACTCACTATGTACGTCAAGAGGACGATGAGGTGACTGGTTCGGGTATGCAGAAACGACCGAACAGAGTGCAATGTCTCGGCGCCAGTGACATGTGTTGTTGGCATTGGGCTTTCTTTTTGCTGCTGTGTTTTTGCCGTTTCTTTAGACATCTAACTTGGCTTTTGTGGAGAGTGGGGGCTGTGTAACTATGTCCTGCAAGCCGATTTGGCGCTCTCCGTAGAGTGCTCAGGCAGAGCATTGTTCTTGATAGAAAGCGGAGAAGCTGAAGTTGTCACCTGCTGCTGGCTCAGCCTTGTCAAGCATGCCTGCAGTATATGGGTAGTTCTCTGCATCAGGGTCCTTTTGAGGTCGCCAAAATAGTATGGCACCCTTATAAAACGGACCCGAAGAGGGACCCTGGTTTGGGGAGAACTACCCGTATTCTCTTGGCACGCAAGCTTGAGGTCAAAAGCCTGGAGCTCCGGAGGTTGTGCGTGCCACGCTTGTTGCTGGTGATTACTTCGGCGGCCACACGCTGATTACCGAACGAATCTTGACAGAAAGGCATTCTGTGTCGAGTCTGGTTGCTGCAAGCTGCTTGCTCATTTGCTCATTCTCATTCTGTCGCAGCACAAGGTGCCAATGCCCCCATCTCAGTCGATTTCAGCATCCTAAATGCATCTGATCTGGTAGGTTTGCCCCACGGTGCCTAGTGTCCAAAGGCGGGCAGCGGGGATGTTATTCATGGTGACATCACATAGCAGAACATCAAGGAGTCGAAGAGACTTTTCCAAGACAATGCCAGACCGCAGAGCAGGGGCATGTCTGGACATCGGGCAACCGTTTCGAGATCCAAGATTGACGGATGCAACATCTGTCATGCCGTGCAACTCCTCATGAGTTCTCCCATTCCTCCAGTTCACCATATTTCCGCCACTTTCAAGGGGAGCTAGGACCTGCAACAGGACCACGAAATAGGAGATGTCAATGCATGCCACGAAGGTCGCCACCATTGTCGCGAGCCGCAAAAGCAACCTTGCCGCAAGGCTGCATGCAGACATGGGCCATATTTGCGCTCTTCACGGCCCGGCTGCACTGGCAGCTGTTGGAGATCTCTGAGGTTACGCTCTCATTGTCAAGAGATCGATTTGAAACTCTTGGCCTGAGACGATGGCCCCTTGGCTTGTTGCTTTTCTGCTCACTCCGGCTCCACATTCATGCTAAGGTTGCAATTTCCGAAAAGACCAGCCATCTACAACTCGCCCCAGGACTTGGGTATTCTACAGGGCTTGCGTCGTCAATGTCGAAGATCTTACATTGGGCTGTGAAACCCCTGCCTGCTGCTCCCATCTCTGTGGTTGAGGAGACGGGACAAGCTGAGATAAGCGACATTCCCAAGCTACCTCCAGATGATCTACTCTTCGTTTGCAAGGCTGAATGGGCCAAGTCGCGTCTCACACGGTCGAGCACTGAAAGTCAAGTCGAATGCACAGGCAATCAGCGAGAACGCCAACCTTCGATACCTTGACGCAAGCAGCAAGCAGGGGCCAGATTTCGCGGAACCATCCAAAGAGGCCACCGCAGGTTCGGACTCGGACAACATGCCGAGCACAGCACAGCGCAGCACAGCAAGTGATGGTGTGCTTTGACTCGAGCTAAGGAGCGCTGCTTGCCGCCAGCGAGGACAAGCTGAAGGAGCTTGCGGCTGGTGCAGAAGTTCCCTCAGCGCTTCCATCTTGGCAGATGATATACAGCCAGCAAGATGTGCCTCAGGTAGCAAAATCCTTCAAGAAAGGTGACCGAATTGTGCATCTTGGTGGCAATGCTCGCGCTCGTGCCGAAGCATGAGGTGCGACATGGTGTGCTAAGGCATGTATCCATTCGCTGGAGACATCTACTGTCTAGTGTGTTTCCGATGATAGCGTCGAAGGCATCTTCCGCTAAATTCCACTAAATGTGATAACTCGCTGTCGGATCGTTTTGCTTGTGGCAAGAGAAACTTGTGCTGTCTCGTCGTCATTGTGCTGACAGGCCCCACAGCTTTCGGGGCCAAATTTGAAGTGAGCTGGGAAAGTAACAGGGCTTTGCCGCAATTGATGGCCACGGCTGAATCAGGATCCCATCGAGGAGCCCACGGTGGTTTATGAACAGGCTTGAGTTAGTGGACCCGATTCCGGAAGCTCCTGGTGGAGCTTCGATGACTCCATGACGTCCACGAGGTGGCTATTGTGAGCCCCAAAGCCCTCGGGCCTCAGGGATGGACGGCATCTCCGTGCGACTGCGAGCAGTTGGGAGCTAACGAGACCGGGAGTGTTGTGACGGCAACATGCTCGAGCTGATCCTGGCCGGTGTGAGCTGGGCCATGAGATTCTTACATGTGGCTCCTGCATTGCTGCGATTGCCACGAGCCTTGCAAGACATTGCGACCGGCGGGCGAGGGAGGTTTTGGGAATTCTCGAACCGCCACCGCGAACCTCCGCTCTGTGCTTTTAGAGGAACTGCCACTTAAGAATGGCGAAAACTGAAGCTGCAGCGAATCATGCGAGATTTAACCGCGGACGAGCTCACGAAGCAGAACTTGCTGAGTCGGACTACAACGAGCTTGGAGTGAGGAAGCGGACCCAAGAACCGAACAATCCCAGATCTGCCCGCAAGGTCCTGAAGTATTCGGAAGTCAGGTCCCTGGTAACCTACGGCTACGCAACCAGCTTGAGGCTAGAGCTTTCTCCGGGCTGACAGGGGCTGTTGCCACAACGACAAAACGAAGGTGTCCGTTGTTAGCTTCTGTGCAATCGGAGTCAGTAGCTAGTCTTCGCGTCGCCACGGTGGTGATGCTCGGAGGTGGTGGCGGTGGTTTTGTTCGAATATGTTCGGATATGCTGGCTAGGGTACCAGATGCGAGCCCTGTGTGCGAAGATGCAAACACTGAGGGAAGCAGGACAGCATGTTCGACAGCTGTACATTGTCAAGACCGGCATAATCAGTGCAACCTGGTAGCAAAGCAGAGTTGAAAACTTGCTCAGATTTGGCACACGAGAGTCGGTGTGCAGCCGCGCAATATCAGGTGGTCGTAGACACGTCAGCGACGCCTGGCGGGCGGCAATCAGCAGCGTGGTCGCAAAACTAAAGTCTTCCTCGTGACAAGAATGTCACAGCGTGGAATGGCCGAGGCAGAAGCTGCAGTTGCAAGTTCGACAATGACGGAGCGTCTGCTTCGAAAGCAGAACTTTCTCGCCCAACTGCAGCGCAAAGAGACGCTCGGATGACACTAGTTTAACAGTTGCGATACAGGTGCGGGTACCTTCGACTAGGCCAATGTTGTTTAGGTATTTCACTGTGCTGGTACGCCTATCTGTTTCATGTTGTTCATGCACCAGAGTTTCGAGCCCTCGCCATCATTGGACCACCAATTCGGCTTTTCGGCCCATCGGCTTCGCCTGCCTCTAGCCTGGTTTCTTCTTCTGGGGCCCGGCCCTAGGTTTCAGCTTGTTCTAGTAGTGTAGCGTCGGTGCACTGCCCGCAGACCTCCGGCCGCACTGGTCGCATGCTGTCATGCTTGATTCCGATATCCTTGCCAGGATGAATCTCTTCACCTACTGTAGGTGTTTTGACCCTTCGTCAGTGTCACTGTTCTTTTCATTTCTTTTGCAGTACAGGCTTGTCGATACTTTCTGTGTAGTCCCATCAATACAGCACTGAGACACGTTCATATTGTATTTCCGTTCTCCGAACTGCTAGTAGTTACTAACGTTTCCTTGCACCACAATTCATTTCGTTTCGGCATCGGATGTGATTCTGCATACTTTTGTGCACATTACTTCGCCGAACAAGATTCATTTTGTCGGTTCTTAATTTCGGAGCAACAGTGCCCTGCGTGTGTTTCTTGTGCGGCACCCGGCGGAAAGAGCTTCCGCCTCCGCAGTGGCACGCTATTCAGCCTCTCGGGCTCTTTGAGTTATGTACGTTGCTTGTGTTTTCGATAAAGTTTCAGTCGCGTTTTCGCCACAAGGACCGTGCGACGTTGGGTCACTCGATCGTGCTCTCGTCTCAGTCGCCTTTTCCACTTGGTTTTATTGGGTTTCGTCTGGAGTCGTCCTGGGCGAAATACCATCGTGGGACCTTGGATGGTCCTCCAGCGCAATAGACACACAGACGTGCCGGCGCACGCGCCCGTGCCGCACCCCGCCCTCGCAAATTAGTACGAAGACGACGACTACGACTACGACTAC